GATGGCAGCATAGCAATTGTAGGCCATGGCAGTCAGCAAAAAGCACTTGGAGGTCCCAAATGTCACTGCACAACAGAGTTGGGCTTCACAACCAGCTTCAGGAGGGCTGTTCCGTGTCCAAGAAATCCTATAAGCATTATAGGGGTCACTGATAGGACAATTCAATGTCCACAAAAGTCAGATGGCTGAGGAATAGGTTCATGGTGTATGAAGCTGGGCATAGCTTCTTCTTAAAGTGATTGTGCTAATATTGCCTACTAAAGTAACAACATATGTTCCTAGAAATATCACAAAGCAGATGACACAGTATAGGGTCCTCTGTCAACCCCAAAATAATTAAGTCTGTCATAGTGATGTGGTTTCTACTCTCCATGACTTATGTAAATTGATCCTCAAAAATGAAATCTAATAAGGACTACAGTGCCAGGCACACAACAGGCACATCATAATTGTTTGCAGAGTTGAATTTTTCTATATTCTTTTGATTTTTTTTTTTCTTTCCTGTGGCAGTACTGGGTTTGAACTCAGGGCTTCATGCTTGCTAGGCAGGCGCCCTACCACTTGAGCCACTGTATGATAATTATTTATTCTTAATTCCAGTAGATGGTAGGACATGGAACCTAGTAATTGTCCTCTGGGCAAATAAATTATATTCAGGTTTTCAAAGTAATATTTGGTGTAAATGTTTCAGTTCTTCAGTCCTTTCAGAGAAAACTGAAGACATGTCATGAAACTGCTCCATAATACCTTCCTAGCTGTTGGATTTGTGCATATTGCTCAACATGCTTCCTTGAGTCTCAGTTTCAGAGGTGTTAGTCCATCATGGCAGGGAGGGCATGGCAGAGCAGTTCACATAGTGGCCAGACAGCAGAGAGAGCCTAGAGTGTATGCCCTACTAAAGAAAGGATCATCTTTGCATTATACACTGCTTTCCCTCCAGTAACTAGTAATAGAAGATATTCAGTAACTAATTGTCAGATAACTTCTTGTGTATGTGTATCTTTTGCCCATTTTCCTTGATAAAAAAGATGTATTTAAATTAGTCTTGAATAGCTGGGCACCAGTGGCTTATACCTATAATCCTAGTTACTCAGGAGGCAGACATCAGGAGGATTGAGGTTTGAAGCCAGCCCAGGCAAATCATTCATGAGACCTTATCTTGAAAAAAACCATCACAAAAAAGGGTTGGTGGCATGGCTCAAGGTGTAGGTACTGAGTTCAAACCCCAGTACAGAAAAAAAAAAAACTTGGTGATTTATATATCGTGTTATGTATAAAGGTTAATTTAATAAAGCATTAGTATTATCTTACTCAAAAAATATAAGTTGTGAATCAGGTATCAATAAAGACAATTTTCTGTGGCTTTTATTTAGATCAAATAATATAGCATTTAAATTTAGAAAAAAATGTCAGGTGCTGATGCCTCATGCCTGTTATCTTAGCTACTCAGGAGTCAGAGATCAGGAGGGATTGTGGTTTGAAGCTCACCCAGGCAAACAGTTCAAAAGACCCTATCTCAAAAAATCCCAACACAATCAAAAAAAGGTGGGGCTAATGGAATGGCTCAAGCAGTAGAGCGCCTGCCTCCCAAGTGTAAGGCCCTGAGTTCAATCAAGCCCCAGTACCACCAAAAAGTTAAATTAATTTAATTAGCTAATTTATTGAAAAGCTGCTCTGGTCCCATTGGTGGTCAGAATTGTGTAATTTTCTTTAATCTTTCTAATGTTAACTTATAATTTACTCTGTATCTAATAAATACCTTCTGCCCAGTAGAATTTTATATTTTCAGTTTTGCCCTTTAAAGCACTCAAAGGGGAGTTAGAAATTCTGGTGTACAGTTCTTTGTAAAGTGTGAGCCAACCCTTTGGTACCCCTAGTGTGTGCCATTATCCCAGTAAAGGAAAAGAGGAAATTAGTAAGCAAAAAATAATAGTGAGTGGGATTGAGTTTGGGAGATGGAATGAAAGCAAGAAGGGGAGGTTTGGAAAATAATGGATGCAGGATGGACAACTGGAAAAGCTTGCTGCCCATGTCCAAAGTTATGTCTGGTTGGCCCTTCTTCCCTAGGTTGTCTGTTCTTGCCTTAGGGACACAGTCTCTTCCTAAAAATAGCCTAGCAGTGTCAACATTGTACCAGATCCCTTTTGTTATCTAGCTAGCAAATCAAATGCAAATGGCTTAGATTTGAAAGCTCCTTCTAGAAGGCAGTTTTCATAACTGAGGGAATTTTTTTGTTTTGCTTGGTCCCATTGAACATGCTTGGATGTTCTACTGGTTAGCAAGGAAAACAAGAGAGCCTTTCATTTTTAAGGAAGGCTTTAGAGGGCAAGCTGGGCGGAGGCTGATGAAATGGGTGTTTGCTAGTGAATGATATTTGGTCTATTTTTGTAGTTGGACACACTCTATCATCAAGCTTATTGTTTAAGCTGGCAAGAGAGCATGCTGTGTGATCATGAGTGGAATTTTTACATTTGATCCTAAGATCTGTTTCCTCCCTCATAGTTTAGAGCCTTTATGGATTTGCCTTCTGAATTTATAAATATTTCATTAATTTCGGATTCTGTTCTCAGTTTACTTATCTGCACCTTGTACATTATTCAGAGAACAAAGATTAGAAACATACATGGTTAACCTCTAACAGTAAATGCTTTGAGATTGTGTTGGGTCTTTAAATTTTTCATTTATAAACCATCATAGATGGTCATCTGTGACATCCTTGCTTGAGTCTTACTCATAATTATCTGTCAAAACATGTGATTAAGGCCAGGTTCAGTAGCTCATCTACTTGGGAGGTGGAGATAAGATTGTGGGTCAAGACCAGCCCCTGGGGAGAGGGTAATAAGATCTTGTCTCAAAAAACACACCAGGCATGGTGGTACAAACCTATAATCCCAGCTACCCAGGAGACATAGGTAGAAGGATCATGGTTCAAGGCCCACGTGGACAAAAAGCATGACACCCTATCTGAAAAATAACTAAAGCAAGAAGATGGGATTGTGGTTCAAGTGGGAGAGTGCTTACCTAGCAAGCTTGAGGCCCTCAGTTAAAATCCCAATGCTGCCCCCAATTCTAAGTGAACTGTTATCTTCTTTTTAAATGTGTTCCAGCCAATTTCCCAATTATTTTTGTCAAAACTTTCATTTTTGAAGATAATGTAATAATAATTCTTTTGGAAAAAAAGTGCCCAGAATCCCAACTCCATCTTCTACTTGTACGCTAGTTGCTGTGTTTGTCCTCATGCACACAGTGTTTGCACAGTTGTCCAGAGCTGCTTCGTATTGTGTTGTCTTTTTGCCACTTAACATTTGCCAGGTTGCCTTTCATAATGCAGTCTTTTGATTTCCACTGTCCTTTGGTCTTGATAGAATTTCTTTAGAAATTTACATTTAAATGGTATATTAACATTTGAAATACCTTATTTTCTGGGGCTGACTGTTCTATAACTAATGCCAAATGTTTTCCCTTGTTCTGTATAATTTGCATGTTTGAATGTGATTTGTGTTCCTCACTTCTTTCCTCTCAAAAATAAAAGTGAGCTTTCCAGAAAGATTTTATAACTTTCAATTGATTTCTTACCTGAATAGTTTATTTTTAAAAAGTAATAGTTGGCATTCTGCCATTTGTTAAATTTGATTTTTTTTAACTGAAATCAATAGTTGAACTTCTTTATTTTGTGTTTTACTTTCATTTCATTATATTTGTCATGCTTAGAAACATTGTTAAAAGCTAGTAACCCCTAAATAATTCTCAGTTATGCCAGAGTTTATTCTGTATCTTTTTGTTTTGTTTGTTTTGGGGAGTTTTTTTGGGGGGGCGGATTTGAACTTGTGGCCTCAAATTTATTAGGCAGGCACTCTACCACGACCACTTTTTGCTTTAGTTATTTTTCGGGTAAGTTCTCGACTTTTTCCCAGGGCAGGCCTTGGACTGCAGTCCTCCTACTTATGTCTTCTGCATAGCTGGGATGACAGACAAACGTCTGCCACCACATCCAGCTTATTGTTTGAGATGGAATCTCACTAACTTTTTGCCTGGACTGGCTTCAAACTGCAATTCTCCTGATCTCTGCCTCCTGAGTAGCTGTATCAGAATTTTTTTTTGAAGTGTTTTTTATTGTCTTGAACTTTGCTTCCCTTTTGTTATTTTTTTTCTTTCTGTGGTTTTCAGAATAGTGAAATTGTCAGCGTTATACTTCTCTAATATGTATACTTGCTGTATACCTTTATTAACAGTGTTTAGCAATGGAACTATTTATTTATTTACTTATTTTTAGTAAGTCTGGAGTTTGAGCTCAGGGCTTTGCATTTACAAAGCAGGTGTTCTACCTCTTGAGGCACACCTCCAGTCCATATACTCTGATTATATGGAGATGGGAGTCTCAGGAAGTATTTGCCCTGGCTGGACTCAAATTGTGATCTTCCCAGTCTCAACCTCCCAAGTAGTGAGGATTCCAGGTATGAGCCACCAGCACCTGGCTAACCTATATCCTTACATTGTAGTCCTTTGATATTGAGACAAACAGAATAATTAACATTGTCAGAGAATCCTACAATTTGTAAGTTACTTTCTTCTCTAACTCATTCTCCAGAGTTACCAATGAGGAGAAAAACTTAATTCATCTCTTTTTCCTCTGCCTGCTTTCACTTGGAATTGTTCACAGCTATGTATTACCAAAAGTAGGTAGACAACAGTAAAAATGAGATGTAAATAATCCACAAAATGGATATTCAGTCCTATCTTGTGTGTGAAGTACCTAGTAGTGAGTCACTGACAGTTTGTTGGGTATAGACAGATTCTTAAACAAGCTGGTCCATAAAACCACATGGCTCTAGCTGGCCTAATGTGGAATCTCCTTAAATGGTGCTCAGTTGCGCTTCAGAAGCTCATCCTGATTACACACATTGCTTACAGACTTACTACACTATACTGTAATAGCAGAAAGTATATTCTCTATGTGATGGATTGACACATGTATGTGTGTTACACTTTTGTTTCTGAAGGAAGTAGAAATTCGGAACAAAGACCTGGAGGGCCAACTCTCTGACTTAGAGCAACGTCTGGAGAAGAGTCAGAATGAACAAGAAGCTTTTCGCAATAACCTGAAGACACTCTTAGAAATTCTGGATGGAAAAATATTTGAACTAACAGAATTACGGGATAACTTGGCCAAGCTACTAGAATGCAGCTAAGGAAAGTGAAATTTCAGTGCCAGTTGGTTAAAAGATACACTATCTCTCTTCACAGGACTGTTGGGCTCTGCATCAAGATTGCACAAAAAATTTTGAGTATCATCCCTCCAGGAGGAGGATCTTTTGAAAATTGGAATTGTATATTTCAGTGTAAATTTTAGAATTCAGCTTGTAGCTAGTTGGGGATAAAAAAGATGAAAAACTTGAACTACAAATTACCTCCATGTATATTATTGGCCATAGTTAACTAGAAAGTTATAAATAGACACTTAATGCAATCTTTTTTTTCCTGATATTAGCCAGTGGGAGAATTAACAATGTCTGGGTCACATCTCCTTTTTATGTTCAACACAGTGAAGATTACCTGCTTTTTAATTAATTTATTTATGATATCTAGACCTGTGTTTTGTGCAAAAACTGAGTAAACGAAAGCCCTGTCTTTTGTTGTAATCTGAATAATTTCTCAGGATATTTTTGTACTGCTTCGCAGTGCCATTACCAATTAATTCTTGCCAGGAGTGAGAGAGAGCTGCATCTTCAATTGAAAAACACTATAAATGGGTGTATAGAGTTCTTCCTTTTTTTGTACTGGAAGATTTTTCACTCTGGTGACTACTCTGGTACACTCTGGTGTTCTCTAATTTTGTCTGTTGTATAGTTTACTTTTCCATATTGATTCCATGTATTTCTGAGAAGATACTGTCTCCCATTTTATTACACATTTTAAAGCCAACTAACAAAGGCAGCTGAGTCCCTCAGAAATTTTTCTTTTTAAATTTCTAATAAATTTGACACACAACTAAAATACAGCAGCCCGTCATTGGCGGTCTGGTCTAGCAATGTTAGGTATATTTACAGAAAATATGCAGTTACATTCATTTATATATTTTGCAAGAAATCTTTTCTGAATGATCAATGCATTTCAATTTACGAATAATAATGGTTATTGGGGAATTGTTTATTATAGATAATTTTAAGGTGTATAGCTATTTTCAAGGGGATCCATTTACATCGAATAGCCGACAAAAGAACTGTATTTGACTTGTGACCATGGCAGATGGAGATGGAGTCATGTACTCTGTCTGGTTCTTCATATCAACCACATCTTATCCAAAACCTCACAAGGCAATATTCTGAACTGCTAACCAGGCGTTTCAAAACAGGAATTAAATTCAACAGGCTCTTCACAGGGAGCAGGTTTTAATGTTGTGTTGATGTAATTTTAAAAGACTTTTAGCAAACATGCATTTCTTTATATATTTCTTTTTCAAAGCTATTTTAAAAGTAAGCCAAGTGCTGTCTGGTCTGCTTATGGAGTAGGAACTGCATCAGAGTACATATATTCTTGCTGTACAATGCCTGTGATGTTGAGGAGGGTTCTTAGTGTATGCTTGAGTATCTGACTCTGCGGAGTTGATGAATGCACTGATTTTTTGTTTGTACCCCCAATGATTGAATTGTTAAGTACAAAATTAAGCTAATTATCAATTTGTAATCAGTTTTCACTCATAAACAGCTACTCAACACTAGATAATTTTGTTTTCTATTCATGTGTATGTACATAAATACATACATACTAATTTACATTAGAGTGAAAAATAAATGGTTTGTTTCTAAAGTTAGTTTCTACAGTGAGTTTCCAGGTATCTCTGACACTTACTCATCATGTATTATACGTGCAATAACATCATGTAAGTTGCCTCCATCTATTTTAGGATATTTTCCTTACCCATTTATTATATGGAAAATAATTTAGGTACACATGCTCAGAGCCAAGATACTTCTCTGATAAATCAGGTAATAAAATTTATTTGATAGATAGAATTTTGAAGTAGATATGATTTTACCCATGAGTTTTTGAGTAACAAAGAACACCAGGTTTTAATTTAAATAGGAGACTAGCACTAAGGATCAGGGAATTTAGTTATGAAGAGTTAAAAAAAAATCTAAAAATAAAAATCACAGTGTAAACTGTTGAAATGGTAAGTGAATTATTTTAATGATGTAATAAAATATTTTTAAATTTTGACATAATGGTCATTTAATGGGAAAATAATTCACCAAAATGTCTCCACTTGAATTGTATTGATAATGTGAGACATAAGTATAATTCAATATATACATATACCCATATGTATATACAGAAAATTATTTTTAATATTTTCCTACTGATATGAAATTTAAAATTGGGAATTTTGTGAGTGTTTTCCTTGTCCAATAGAGTTTAAATGTTGCTTTTTTTTTTTTAAAGCAATTTAACAACTTCTTGAGGGCTGCACCTTTAAATTCCCACATTGTCAGTTGACATGTACAGTATATGGGATAAGGTGGACACAAGTGCACATATAAATAAACCTTCTTATTAAGACTATTTTAAATGCTCATTTATAGTAGGAGTATCTAGAAATCATCTCTACATGTCATAATTAGGTTATGTGCCTACTGTAGTTTTTCCATTTCTGTATTATAAAATAATGTTTGCATATTAAAATTGATTTTTCCCAGAGACAAGTATTATATAATGTATCTATATTTAGATCAAACTGTGGTAATATATTTATCAGGACACAATGTTGGGGACTGAACATGTGGACTTGCAATGGCACGGAGGAGGGTAGTAGAGATGATCCCATTGTGTATAAGTTACATGGTAACTACGAGTTCTTGTACAAAAATGAAAACTGGAAAAAAAAATACAGTTTTTATTTTGAAATACATTTGTTGTTCTCTGGAGAATGTACTCATCTTTTTTTCCTTCAGTCTTTTGCCAATATTTCAAAGCATTTACTTAAATCTCATAGGTGCTACTGGATCTTGCATTCGTGTGTGATGTTGTGAAATCCTGACTTTGACATAAAAGGTTTTATAAGTATTTTCCTGCCTGGAAAATTAATTTTTATACTTCTTCTCCCCTGCTCCCTCTCATTTCTCTCCAGATGAAAAAAAGTTCACCAAGTTGTACCCTCCTTGTCCCTAGCTATAGACAGTCTGCAGCAGCATCATAGATTCCATGTTTCACGGTCATCCAACTGTTGGGAAACAGAGGAAAAGCTGTTTCTTTTTTCAGGTGAAATTAAAAGGCACACTCAAAATTAAGCCAGCACAGCCACCTTTTAAAACTCATTCCTTTGCCCTGTTAAAATTCAATCTATTCTTTACCATGCATGCCTTTGTCTTCCATGTTTTTATTCTACTCTGGAGTATGTCCTCCAGCTGCTTTATGATTCTGATTTTTCTGCCCATATGGAAGGGGGGGCAGGCCACAGGGAAAGATTTTGAGTTTGTTGTTCTTTTAACCCTTTTGTTTATTTGATATGCAATGATTTTAACATGCTGAAATTTTATGCTTAAAGACATGAAATAGTTTTCGCTGAGCTTTTGTCTTTTGCATAGGTAGCATTGTTCCTTTATTATTCATGAGATAAATTAATTTAAAATCTTTTTTTGTTTTTCTGTGCTGGGGATCAAATCCAGGGCCTCGCATATGCTAGGCAAATACTCTGCCACTAAGCTATACCTCAGCCCTATATAAAATCTTAATGAAGAAAACTTTCAGGTAAGAAGTAATTGAGATTGACACATTTTTTAAAATTCTCAATGCTATAACATTATTAGGTATTTGTTGAGAAGAATATTTTAGTAATGATTAGAAAAGAATCATTAACATCAAAAGTACATGTATCCTTCATCTTACTCTAAATTGTGAAAGTGTATTTCAAAAAGTATATTCCTCTTAAATTGCACTTCAAAAAATTTTCAAAACACACTCATCCCACTGTCTTAAAAATTTTAAGCCAGCTAGGTATGGTGGGTAACACCTAAAATCCTAACTACTTGGGAGGTGGAGATTGGAAGGATTGCAGTTTGGCAAGACCCCCTCCCCTCACTCAGTAAAAGCGGATATGGTGGTTCATGCCTGTCATCTCAGGTACATGGGAAGCATAAATAGGAGGGATGTGATCCAGGCTGGCCTAGGCATAAATGTGAGAGACCCCATTCAAAAAATACCAACAGCAAAAAGAGCTGGGGATGTGGCTCAAATGGTAGAGCACCTGTCTGGGAAGCTACAGGCCCTGAGTTCAAACCCTATTTCTGCCAAAAAATTTTTTAAGCCAGAGTGGTAGCACATATCTCTAATCCCCAGTACTTGGAGGCCAGAGTGGGAGGACTGATGCTTCAAGACCAGCCTGGGTACATAGCAAGACCTTGTCTCAAAAAAATTTAAATACCATAGGTAGAGGGAATGTAGGCTACTTAGAATTGACACAGCTTTCTACAAAAATGGATCCAGTACAATGCTTTGACCTCATAAGGGAAATGAGTAAAATAAAATTTTACAAAACGTCTTCATTAGACCTTAAGCTTTTCATAACAGCTTTTTTGTCTTGTTTTTTGAGACAGGGTTCATTGGCCTGGAACTTGTGATCCTCCTTCCTTAGCCTCCCAGGTGTTGGGATTGTAGATATGCACCACCATATCTGGCTGACATTTCTTTATGAGATGTATAGATGTCATACAAATACATAGTAAATTAAAAAATGAATATTTCACAATTTTTGTTGTAGATATATATAACCTAGTAAAACAGCTAAAAATTTTTTCCAAGAAAATTCTAATCAACACTGCACTGCTTAATGATTTTTGCTTAAAGGCACTAGATAGAAAAAAACACATGTTAAGGGAGGGTTGAGGAGATTTTAATGGTAGAGTATGTGCTTAGCATGCACAATGACCTGGGTTAAATCTCTAGAATCATTCCTCTCAAAAACAAAAAGGAAATAAAAAAGACAGAGAAAAAGGGAAAAAAAGAAAACACATTTTAGGCTTGGGGTGTGGCTTAAGGGTAGAGCACCTGCCTAGCAAGCACGAGGCCCTGAGTTCAAACCCCAGTACTGCCAAAACAACAAAACAAACCACTCAGGTTCACAGAAAGAGAATATGCAAAAAAACCCAAATACCAAGATGGGTTAATAATCAATCGATGGGCATCAGTAGCATTTATAACCTGGAGAAAAGAAGACAAAATAGAAAAAGGTAGAGGGAAGAGAAAAAGGGAGCTTGGAGAAAAGCAAAAAGAAAACACATTTTAAGTCATTTTTACCAAAAATTTACCAAGAAGAAAATTCCATCTAAACTAAAATAGATGGCCACAAACACCCAAGTGACTTCTAGTCAACTCCCTGATCTCTGTAAGGTCCCTTCTATCCTTTAGATTAAAGGATATCTTTCAAGCCTGGCATGGTGGCAGGTACCTGTAGTCCAGAGTACTCGGAATAATAAGGCAGGAGGTTACTTGAGCCCAGGAGTTAAAGGCCTGGCTAGGCCCATCTGTTTAAAAGGAAAAAAGTAGATGGGGGAGAAAACTGTTCTATGAAAGCAGAGCTGGCAAAAAAGAATAGAAACACAATGACTTATGTAGCCACAGACACAAAGTACTCCCCCACCTACTCCCTATCTTGTTTTTGCTTTTAACTCGACAAATTGAAATTGCCCTAATGAATTTCAGAGATTTTTCAGAAGGCACCAAAACTCACGACTCACCATTTTGTGGGATTCTGACCTACTTTTGTCAGGTATTTTAATGTCAGGAAAACAAATTTACTCTGTTTTCTCCTAATAGCATCAAGTCAAGGTAATATGTGTCTAATAAATACAAAAAATGTCTTTTGTGAATAGTTTTTCTATCAGCTGTCATTTTTCTTGTTATCTGTGTACTGCATACTCATATAGTAAGTTGTGTCTTTATGACTTGTGGATGTGACTTATTTGATGGTTCTGTCTTCACACAGAATGACTACCTCAGAACACTTGGCTAGAATGCAGATGTGCTGGAAGTGAATGCTTTCGCTACAACTTCAGTGTGAAATGGAGCAGCAAAGAGTAATTGCTGAACGTTTCCTCTGTGAGGCACTGTCCCAGTTGATTGTCATCTTACTTCTATTTGCAGTGGCCCTTCTAGGGCTGTTCCTTTGGGAGGCAAGGAAGGGGAAGGGCTCAAAGCATTGCACCTGCTATGTTCCACAGTTATCAGTCTGGCCATCTTGTATACCAATCAAAAGGAAGTCTTGCTCATAATTTTGGTACAAATTTTCATCTAGATTGTCTGACTTGCCTCTTGAGAATATGTTAGGACACTTTTTTCTGATACTGGGATTTGAACCCAGAGCCTCACCCTTACTAGACAGGCACTCTGCCATTTGAGCCATTCCCTAGCACTTTTATTTTTCAGATAGAGTCTCACGTTTTTGCCTGGGACTGGCCTCAGACTGTGACCCTTCTACTTAGACCTCCAACGAAGCTGGGGTTACAGGCACACACCACCTTACCCAGCTTGTTGATTGAAGTGGAGGGGGTTTCCCTAACTTACTTTTTGCCCAGCTTGACCTCAAACTGCAATCCCCCCAATCTCTGACTCCTGAGTAGCTGAGATTACAGGTATGTACAACCAGGACTTGCCTATTAGGGCACTTCTTAACTATTTTGTGTTTGCTCTTTTTGAACTTCTTTGGCCTTCTTTATGCTAGCAATTCTTGCCATTAAGTCAGAAATCATACATTCTTTGCAGGTATCTTATTTATGGACCATGTTTTAGTACCAATCTAAAGAAGAAAAAAATTCCAATAATCTAACAATGAGTAATTCTTCTTAGGCAGTATTTTAGTCTATTAAATGTAAGGAGTAGACTTTATAAAGGCTTTCAGAAAGCAGCTCATCTCTTAAATTCCATAGTAAAACAAGTTGTAAATCTGGAGAGCACATCACCATCCCCCTACAGTTCACTGGGATGTGGGCTTTGCTGTCAGTTCTGGGTGACTGTGGTCAGTGCTGGTTCTGTAGAAGGTAAAGCCTCTCCAGCTCAATCAAACCACTAGGCCAGTGGCAGAAATTAACTCCAGGAGCATTTTTATATAGTTTCTAGTGGAGCAGACAACAACTATTAAAGCACTTGTATTGTGCTGAACATGGAAAATAATAACCCTCCAAGATTTTATGTAGCACATTGTCAGCCTTTTTATTGTGATAAAATATTCATAACATGAAATTCACTATTTAAACTATCTGAAGTGTACATTTGTAGTGTTGTGTTATCACCACCACTGTTGTTTCCAGAACTTCTCATCATCCCTGGTAAGCTCTGTTCTACTTTATGCCTGTATGGTTTGCTTACTCTGGTTGCCTCGTAGAAGTGGGATATTTGTTTTATGTTTGACTTGTTTCACTTAGCATGGTAAGGTCAAGATTCATTATTTACTCTTTTCTAAATCATTTATTGAGCACCTACTATGACAGACTCCATTTTGGAGCAGAGACTGGAGAGATTTTCATAGTTTAGTGGAGGACAAAGTTACCTTCCCCTGCATAAGTGTTGTGATAAAGAACACTAGCATGAAGCTGCCTAGAAGGAAAGAGGGTTGGGAAGTATTTCCCAGAGATGACCCTCCTTGAGTTGCTGAAGGAATGGGAGCTAGCTAGTTGTCAGAGTGAAAGACGATAGCAGAGAGTAAGTTATTTGTAGAGGCACTGAGACAAGACAGGCATGTGCCACCAAACCCAGCCTTTTATTGATTGAGATGGAGTCTCACTTTTTGCCTAGGTTGGCCTTATACTGCAATCCTCCCAATCTCCACCTCCTTAGTAGCTGGGATTCAGTGTGAGCCCAGGCAGTTCTACAAAATCACACTGATCCCTGCTGAGAGAATGTGTTATGGCAGTGGCAGTGGGGATGGAAGAGATGCAGTGATGGATTCAGAGGGTATTTAGGAGGTAGACCTCAAATTAGTGGGAATTCTTGATTAATTAAGAAAAGTGTGGGGTGGCTCCTGGATCTCTTGAATTGGATAACCAGACAGTAGTGAATTCAAGATGGGGTAGAAGCTTGGTTTTGATGGAGGCAAGGAAGTAGACACAAAAGATGAATGAGTTAGTTTCTTTTCAGATGTATTTTTTTCTTCTGTGCTGGAATGGCTGAAATAATTAAGTTTTGAGTTTAGTATGCATATAGGATATCCAGGTACAGCTGTAGGTTTAGATGGTACATAGGAAATATTAGCTGAAGATAGATAATCAGGAATTGTGTATAATTGAGGGCATGAAAAATGGAAAGAATACAGGGTAGTAGAAATGGCCTGGTGCAGCTTGAGAAAGAGGACTAGCCAAAAGGGATGGGTGGCCAACCAGAAGACTGGGGCCTTATGGAAGCCTGGTATGGAATTTCAGATTTCACAGAAAAATAAATCAGTTCATCAACTCTTGTCTCAGGATAATGGTATTCGGACTGTGTTCTTTTGAGATCTTTCATGTTAATGCTTAATATTAGGATATCTTTTAACTTTAAGGGTGTTAAAACCCAACAAACTCAAATGTCTAACTTTTTAAAACATTGAAATCCTATAACCATCAATACCAGGTTAGCTTTTTTGTGCAGATGCCAGAATAAGGCTATGTCTGGTGAACTGAAGAGCTTCCTGGTATTTCAAGGTGAGCTGGTAAAGAATTGCTGCTATTTCTCGATTTGAACCATAATGTTCTCAGTGTGTACAACTGAACCAAAATACAGAAGGCAACTTTTGTCTGCTGTAGACCCATCTCAAACACTTCATTGTGTGAATACCTTGTTTTCCTTATTGACTTAAGATTAAATGTTATAGAATTATTTGTTAATACATAGTAGTCATCACTAAGACCAGGTAAGTTTGCATTCACATTGCTATAGAAATTTTAGAAAGTTAATGATTTTGTTATCTTAAATGTTCCTAACTTTCTTTTTCTTACTAATTCATAAGCAGACAACTAACTGCATGCAAATGATCTTCAGTGGAAATTATCTCAAATGATGATGACAAAAAAAAATATTCAAATGGTAACAAGAACAGCAAATATGTGTTTGGTTTCAGACTGCTCTATGGTACTTGATTTTTATTTCTAGTTTAAGTTACATTTAAAATTCCTTGAGTAGATACAATTTGTTCTACTTGGGTAATAAATTGAGGATGTTCAGCATTCCAGGAAGAAAAAAAAAGGACTGCCAGAATTCATAACTGGCTCCAAATAATCTATAGAACTTGAATGTCACTTGTGAATTGTCAAGTAAACAATAACTTTTAAATCACTGTTTTCATATTTTTCTACTTAGTGATTAACCTTGGTCTCCTTTAGTGGAGCCTTTACTTTAAAGTATGTTCTGTGCGTTAAAAGCTCAGCACTGTGTGAGTAGCATAGTTCATAGTTCATGGTGCATGGGCAACTGTACCTCTCACAACAGTTTTCACAGCAGTTTTGTGACCTAAGTGTTACCGCCATCCCCATTTTAAAGATGGGAAGTCTGGGGTTCAACAAGATCAGCCAAGTGAAAAGCAGACTAAGACGACACACAGACCTCTGCCTTCTCTGCCAGTGTGCCTGAACTGTGACCTGCAGATGTTTTTTAAGAAGGTAGGTATAAAAGTCTATTAATTTCCTGTATTTAGCAATAATCACCAAATGAGAAGAATCTGATGATTTGTTTCACGACTCACAGTGATACAGCTTTGAGTTTCTCTCTCCCTATCTCTCCCCTTTTTAAGAAAAAAAGCTTGTTTTATTTATGTAAGTGGTTCATGTGTACTTTATTTTGGTAATGTTTCCAATAATACAGATAAAGCAAGTCACCCTTGACTTCTCAGTTCTGTCTCTTGAAATTATTTGAAGACATGCCACAGTTGTCTAGCATTCTGTATAAATCATATGCAACATATATGTATCTATTGAAACAGTTTAGTTGGAGGAAACTGTATCATCTGGTATATATTCTAAAATTCACCTTTATTTTTTTTTTTTTGCAGCATCAGGGATTTGAACTCAGGGCCTCACACTTGCTAGGCAGGCATTCTTACCACTTGAGCCACTCTGCCAGCCCTTTTTTGTGGTGGATTTTTTCAAGATAGGGTATCAAGAATTAATTGCCTGGGGCTGGCTTTGAACCACAGTCCTCCTTATCTCTGCCCCCTGAGTAGCTAGGATTATAGGGATGAGCCACCAGTGCCAGGGTAGAATTGCATTTTTTGAACCTGCCCAAGTTGATACTTACAGATCTACCTTTTTTCCTTTAGAGTATTCCATTTTGTAGATATATTACATTTTAAATGTTTCCATATTTTTCTTCTCTTTTTTTTATCTTACCCTCTTCTCCCCTATCTCAAGATTACTTGTTAAATGATAGTAGCAGCAGCATGAGTTAGCACCCAGTTTGCAGATGTCTCACAGAGCTTCTTTATCCACATAACCATTGGAGAAAATGAATTCTGAATGATCCTGAAAACTAAAACTCAAAAAAAAATTTTTTGACTGGCCTTAGTGAAACTCTTTCTAAATTATGCCATACACAACATCTAGCAGTGTGTTTCAGACAGTAATCATTTAATATTTAATATGTTGAATGACTGAACATGTGTCCTGCCTTAGAAAAAGAGAGAACACCCACCCCATGTAAATGTTAACCTTGGCTTACTGACTTGGTTTATCAACTGTTGTGATCATGTCCCCCTCTGACTGAGGATGCAAGGTGACCTCTGAGGGAAGGCTGGGCAGTTTAAACTCAAACTTCTGTACTCTAATCCTTCCAAGTGGGGAAGAGGAGGGTGGGACAAAATGGAAAGAATAACCAGGGAAATGCTTATATTGTGGTATAACCAGATGACATCTCCTTCTTTTTTTTTTTTTTTTGACATCTCCTTCTTAAATCAGGAGCCTGATTGTTGGTTTTGTCTCTGATAGCATCTCTTACTAGTTGGCTGTTAAAACGTTTCATAAGCACCCACAATGTCACAAGGCAGTGTGCTAGGCCCAGGCAATAGAAAGCTGAGAACATAGTCCCACTCAAGAGCATATAGTCTAGTGTAGTAGGTGAATATGTCAGTCAGCCATCAGTGTTAGGAAAGGAGCGTGCACAAGAGGGAACTGGCCAGTGTTGTGGGGAAGGTAGCATCTGAGCTGAGATGTAAAAGATGAACAGATGTCCCATGGGACAATGGAAAGTGATCAGAGGAAAGTGAGCTTCACATTCAAATCCACAGTCCTAAATCCCTGGCTGAGCTCATCAGACAGATTCCAGACTGTGGACTTTGTCACCTGCCCTCCATAGTAGTCTTGACTTTCCCAGAGTCCCTGGACGCCACTCTCCCAGGGAGTAACATGACTGGAGTGACTGGGATTACATTTTAGAGAAAGTAAGTTCTTGACTACAAAATCACAAATGGCTTAGGCAAAGGTTATTCCAGACTGGATTTAGAAAGACCTTTTTTTTTTAATTGTAGCAGTCCAGGTAAGAGAGACCCAGAACACTGGAAGTAATGAAGACTAGCTGGACTAAAATGTGAGACGTTCAAGAGCTATGTCTCCAGATGTTTTACACTTTTGTTCAGTTTTTCCTTTCCTGGAATTTATTCTTCCTTTCTCTATACAGTTCCCACTCCTAATTTAGGCATCCATGGAAGTGCTGTAGTCCTTTTGTGATCCTGATTGGGTTGTTATATAGTATTAAAGGGGTCACTTCTCTCTGCTCTTTTCCCACAATTGAGATTTTAAAAATACACCTCCCATATGAGAGGGAGGTGAGTGTCACTAATGAAGGGCCCTGAACACCGCCTCCCCCTCTGGTTGACTCAGCAGCCTGAGATGGGAGCTTGGGGATAAAAGAGAATCCTCATCCTTGGGGACAGGGGCCGAAGAGCAGAGGACACCTATGCCTCAGGGGCCAGGTTTGAAGAATTCACCTGAGCAGGACTGTACCACGGCCACTGAGGAGAAACAGCTGCGTGTTCTAGGCTGAGCAAGCCTCCAGCATATTCCTGGGGACCGAGTCCCTGTCTAGCCCTCCAGCAGAGGTGGAAATAGTTTACAGAAGAGTTGCTACTTCTGGATAGAGGTTGGGGTGAGGAGGACATAGGTTACCTCAGTGGATCTGGAACCAGAGAAGATGGACATGCCAGTGGATGCTGAGGGAGAAAAGTTCAACAACCAGGATCCTAGGGAACCCAGCTGTCCATGCAAAGGCCAGCATCTGTGGGGAGTCAAAAATCAGGACCCACCACTTCCTCAGCCCCCACCGAGTACACAACATGGAACTCATAGATAACCTGTGTGGGGAAGGGGGGGGAGGGGAGCCCTAAATTGGCTGAGTTTATCTTGAGTTGACAAAAGCCATATTTCCTCTTGCCAGGCAGAATACATATATTTTAGAACAAAGTGTAAATGAACAAAGCGACATTCTTCTCATTTCCTAGTTGTGGCCTGAGAAAATGTTACCTACTCTCAGTAGAACACAGGCTGTAGAAACTGGAGGAAATGTCTCCAAGCTTCTGGATCTGGCTGGAAGAATGGTAAGTTCTGTTTGGCTGCGTGGAGTTTGTGGTGCTTCTGTAGAGGTCTCACAGCTCTGAAACTTGGGGGAGAGCAGCAATGGGAGAAACTGGGAGTTTTCAGAAAAAGGCAGTAGTAAGTCCATGAGTGGATGAAATCAGAGGCCTAGCAAGCCCTGCAATTGAACAGGTGTGAAGAGAAAAAGGCGTTAGAAAGGAGTTGGTAAAGCCATCCAAACATCCTAAAGAAGAACTAGTAGGTGACACCAGATAATCTAATGGTTGACTGTCATTTAATTTTGTACTAAACCAGTTGCACTTAGCCTAATGGTAGTTGAGGGTTACAAACTACAATGCCTTATGAAACCTTCTTACTGATAAGGCAACTATTAGCCTCACAGCCATACTGGAGGCCACATTCTGACTGTGTGGGCATCAGGGATCCAATTCCCAGGGACTAATCTGAGGTGGTGTGGTGCAGCCTTGATCATCTCCGTGGCGCTACCACAGGAAGAGGATGGCTCACACCAGGGAACACTGCTGCCTGCCTTGCCAGTGTGCTGTCAGAACTGCTTTCCCTATTTTATACAGTTTTCTTTTTAAGAAAAGACCTTTGTCAAATTGATTTCTGTGATTTCTTTTTGACCTGTGCTCCTTCTAGGAAATGAGACCTACATAAATCCATCATTCTCTCATCACCCTGCCTGCTAGAAGGCTCAAGACCTGGTCTTGGGCTTAACTACTATATTGCTCCCCAGATAGTTCTTCTGATTCTACTTTTTAATCCCTCATTTGTTTTCCCTCCTCCCATTTTACGATCATTTGCTTGTTCTTGTTATACTGGTCTGATGGCATCTATCTATATAGCTATATAGATTTTTTTGTGATACTGGGGATTGAACCCAGGGTCTTTTGCGTGCTTAGGTTAAGTAGGTAAGCAACTATACCACTGAGCTAACATCCCAGACCTTTTTTTTTTTAAAAACAACACAAAAAAAGCTTTCTTTTGAGATAGGTCCTTGCTAAGTTGCCCGGGCTGACCACAATCTTGCAGTCCTCCTGCCTCAGCCTCACAAGTAGCCAGGATTACAGCTGCATGCCACCACCCTCAGCTGTATATTTATATCATAAGCAACTTCAAATGTTTTTTCTAATTTGGCAAAATACAGAATAGCTGATTAAAAATAAAGACTAGGTCATTATAATTTTACAATTTTTAACTGTATCTCTAAAGCTGATCATTCACCTGTTAGTGCTATCTTCATTTATTAGTTACATAGTTCATTCTGATGAATAATTGTTTTTTCCAATAGTCAATCTGTGTATCGACAGCAATAGCAAAATTTAAACATTTGATTGCATGATGGTACCAGCATTTAAAGAAGTAAAAGTAACAAAAGTCCAGTGATATAAGGAAGCTTTCCTCTTTAGCCTATTATCTCTGCTTATCCATCATGACCATTTTGCTTAGGAGTAGCTGCTAATCTTGTAAATTATCACTATGAAAATTTCCTTCTCCCAATCTGTCATCAGAGCTGATCTCTCAAGCTTCTATTTTAACTACTTAACTGTCATAAGAATTCAACAGGAGTAAAAAAACATTCCCTGGTGCTGTGTTGGCTTTACACATGCTTTCATTCACTGTGTGTTAGACTATCACATGCTTTATGGTATCAGGATCTACTTTTTGACTTCATCAGCCATGAAGATACAAGGTAAAGACAGAACTATTGAAAGACCTTTTGTCCAAACCAAATTTTCCCCAAGAGCCCTGCCAAATACTGCTCCTGGGCACGATGCTGCCTCCCGCAGAGTGAAGAGCATGCAGTGTAGTCCTCTGCTTCAGTAGCCCAGTGAGCCAGGGCAGAATGCAGTTACCAACCTTCCCTGCTTTAATTTTCACAATTGAGATGGCCCTGAGCTACTTCAGCTGGAAGTTAGGTGAGACTCTCCTTTGAATAAATAACTTGCATATCCCAGGACTCCATGTAGCCTTGGTCCTCGGCCAGTGCCTGCTAACTGTTCGGTTATGTCCCAACAAAGAGAACAAGTCCATACTCCCCTTGGCTAATGATTTGTTTATCAAACCAAGCCTGAGACATAGGCTTGACACTCAAGCCTATAATTCATTTTATTTTCTTAACAGACTTTACTATCTGAAAGAGAAACTGCTATAGGGAAGGAGAATAAGAGCCAGTACTGAACATGTAGCATGTGTTGGGCATTCTGCATATCGTGTCATTTGGTCCCTCTAATAGCCCTGCAGAGGTGAGTAGTGGCTCTGCCTCACAGGAAAGCACCTAGGGCCTTCAGGAAGTTAGTGATCACCCAACACCACAGAACTAGTGAAGGATGGACTCCAGGTTGAACTCCAGTGGGCTTGCCTGTCATCCCTAAGAGGGGTCTATTTCTTTCCTCATCCACAGCAATGAGAGAAAAAAAGGAAAAATATAATC